AAAAAAAAAAAAAAAAAAGGAAAAATTATCAATACAAATTCAGTTGGAATTATAGCTCCACACCTTATTCATTGATTTCATATTTTATAGAATTTACACATATATTAATTTTTATTGAAAATAGATTTTTGTCTCCGACAATATATCCTGACCATGCTTTCCCCTCCCTCCGCTGCTCCAAGCTCCCCACACCTGTCCTATAGTCCATATCCACTCCCCCTCCATTTCCTCTTCAGAAAACAGCAGGCCTTCAAGAGACAACAGCCAAACAGGACAGCACATGATAGAATAAGACAAGGCAAAAGCCCTCCTAGATTCTATGATCCCACAGAAAAGTTATCAAATGAGAAAAATAAACAAGGATGGCTTTCAAATGAGAAATAACAAAACCTATTTTGATCTTTCAATTGAAAACATTTGAAGACAAATTTTCACCAGAATGTTTCCTGGAAGCACCCATAAATAGTCTATTTACTTGAGTTAAAAAGCCATATAGCATGTCATCTGCTTTTGCAGAATTCACATTGGGCATTTATAATTTATTATAATTTAAGGAAGCAGTGTAAGACAAATCCAAAGCCAAACTTTCTTCCTCCAGGTCCATTTAAAACCGGTCCCGCTTCAGACTGAGCAAGACCAAGTAGAGCACAGTCTGGCGTCGGAGAGAAGGAAAGTTCGCCTACAGCATGAGAACACCTTCAACAACATCATGAAGGAAAGCGGCAGGTTTGATGGTGGGTGCGTCTACAGAGAGGAACTCTCTATGGCGTGGCACAGGAAGGGGGCTTTCTTAGAGCGCACGCTTTCACAATGCAGCTTGGATGAGGCTGGACCTGTTTCCTGACAGACCCAGGCAGTAGGGAAGAAAAGGCCTGGGCATTCAGCGTATCCACAGTGACTTAGGCCTCCAGGCTAGAATTGTTCTGGAGGAGGAAGTGGGAGACAAGAGATGAAGTCTTGGTGGTTATTAGCCAGCAAGCCCTTAGCTGCATGGGGGATGAAGGGGTGGTGACCAGGGCACATTGATCCGGAGCTTCCCAGATCACTAAGCATTTTCTCAACCAAGGCTTCATAGGAACCATATATCTTCTCAATACAGAAGGGAACTCCAAGCAGGAAGAAGCCTGCTGGAGGACCCCTACCATAAGAAAGGAAGGGAAAGAGTTCATTAATATTTCCTAGTGGTTTCCTGAGTGCTTTGATGTCATAGTTCCCCTTCTGAGTCTTCGGTCTTTCTCTTTATTTGACTCCATCTTGAAAACCCCAAGAGAGAACACAGTAGGAGAGAGGAGATGGAGTGAGCCAACCCAGGGGGCTGGAGAAGCCGACAGACGCTCCAACTCCCCTGACTCTGAAGGAGAGCATGGAAAAGGGGAAAAGGAAGAAGAGGACGGGAGTAGGTCAAGATAGAATGGGAAGGAGGGAGAGGACAAGGACATGTGTAAAGGCCAGAGATGGGAAGAGAAGATAGCATGTCAGAAGTATGGAGGCCTCGTGCTGACCAAGAGGCATTATCGGGGTCATGGGACAACCCAACAGAAAACCACTGGGTACGAGAGAAAATGTCCAAGATTTCTGCCTTGAGAGGATAGTTCTAGTTCAGTCTTCAGGACCCTCAAGGTCAATGGCATTGTTTACCAGAACAGAAAATCTTGATCACGACTCAAGGCTGATCAGGATGGTTGATATGGTCATTACTGAAGTAGAAGATGACTTTAGGAAAAAGTGCATGCATGTTGATGTTGTACTTCACAGTTCCTGAATATTGGTATGATGTGACGACCTCATAAAGGGCAATATCCACTATCAGTTACGGAATTAGAGACTTCATCATTAAGTTTACAATGCTTTGAAGAGTCTCTTTTAGAAGATGGTCTTAATTCTAAGATGTGTTTAGATGCATTTTTCCTAAAGACTGAAGTCAGTGAACCATGATAATATTCCTAAGGCAAACCAGGCAACCACTAATAAAAAACAAAACCAAAAAGGCCATCAGCCCAAGTCCACCTTGTTGTCTTCTCACCACAAAACTCCAGGAAGGAAATGAGATGACAAAGTTCCTCACATCTGCTTTAGTCTTAACTCAGGGAAATGCCAGTAGTTAATGTGGCTCTTTTTTCTTTTCGGTTTTTTGAGACAGGGCTTCTTTGTGTAGCTTTGCGCCTTTCCTCGATCTTGCTCTGTAGACCAGGCTGGCCTCGAACTCACAAAGATCCACCTGGCTCTGCCTCCTGAGTGCTGGGATTAAAGGCATGTGCCACCACTGCCTGGCTGTTAATGTGGCTCTTAATGAGTCTGTGCAGTTACCCAGCCTTCACTGGCCTTCCTTTCCACATAATCATTTTCTTCAAAAAATGCTTCTGTCCTTACTGAGGTTACAGCACCTGAGTTTTTAAGGGGAATGTAGGAATAAGTCACTGAAGAGTAACAAGGTTCTTTGGTAATTTCAGAAGGAAGTTCTAACATCTGTGTGTATTTATCCCAAATCTTGCAAGAACATGCTTGACCCTCCCCAGCCATCGCTCTCACATCAGTGTCTCATGGATCATTTTCCAATGTTTTAACTTGAGAACTCGAGAGAAGAGTTCTCCTGAGGAAAAAGGCATCCCTGGGCTGAGTGAGGGGCTGGTCAGATGGTCTGGTACTAACCGGAAGAATTGAATGTGTGATTGTGGATGGGATCATGTACTGTCTTGTGGATGTCTGACTCCTTCCCTCTCAGCATCAAGAAAGAAAGGACCTGTCAACTGCTCAGTTCTATCTAGTACAGATGCATTACACTCCTACCATGTGCAAGGAACAAGCTTGCCATAAGAGGCAAAAAAGATGAATAATGCAAGGTCGTTGCACTGGACAAACCCATGCCCCAGTGCTGGGTACATGAATAGTTCCAAAATAATGTAGACAGTGATCAAAGAAGTGGGCCCCAGATTCTGTGTGCCCAGGGGAGGACCCCTGAGAGGGTCCAGAATGATTGAGGGAGATGCTGTGTTATTAAGGAAAAGGAGTTAAACAGTCACATTGCCATCCAGTTTAATTTTCCTAGGAGGCTGATCAGAGCAGATCCATGGTTGCTTCAATTTAGAATTACATTTTTTTAAAGCTTTTCTCACTGATTTAACTTAATCTAGTCCAACACGAATCATCCTATATTCTTTTCAATGAAGCAACTTTTCATCTAATTCTATTCTGTCAATCTGATCTTACTTTTGGAAATATTACTAACTTCCATGTCACCAATGATACCACAGAACTTAGAGGCAATTTTCTCCAAGAAAGAACGATGGACTGTGGTCTGTCTGCTCCCTGTCCCTTAGGTCTCAGAGAGTCTGGTTTTGATTCAGAAGCATGTTCTAAAAGAAGGTAGACAGGTTATCATTAGTGAACTAAGACAGATGTTCTCAACCTGTGGGTCGCAACCCCTTTGAGAGTCAAATGACCCTTTCCCAGGGATCACATATCAGATATCCTGCATATCAGATATTTACATTATGATTCATAACAGTATCAAAATTGCAGTTATGAAATAGCAACAAAAATAATCGTATGGTTGGGGGTCACCACAGCATGAGGAACTGTATGAAAGGGTCGCAGCGTTAGGAAGGTTGAGAACCACTGAACTAAGGGATCTCTAATATCAGACTGATTAAGTCATCTTCATCTTTTAAGGTGTTGCATGAGAGAAATGAGTAGTGTTGGAATACTGGGAAAGTTGATTCCAGACTCTATGTTTTCATAAGAAAAGTGGAAAAAAATGAGATTAGGTTTGTAAGAGGATGATTGGAATGTGTTATTGTACCACTAGATCACTAAGGGTGAGGAGAACTAAATTTTGAGCTACTTGTCATATAAAATCAGATCTTCAGAGCATTGTCCTGGTTGAACCTTTCTGGACGTGCAGAATGAAAACAAGACCTGGAATAAAATGACCTGAATTCAGGTCAAAGATCCCGATCTAAAAAATACAGAACAAATGTGAAATTGACCAACAAAATGATGAAACAATACCTTCAAAACATTCAAGGGACAACCGTTGAACTTGATCACTTGGCTTACAGAATGAGGTCTGTTTACTATATACACTCAGCTCTAGTCAGGTCTGGGATCCTGAACTGTTCTCTGGACCTGGGGACACTCTATTTTTTTTCTCCATTGATAGGCTATTATCTACAAGAAGACACACTTGCACACAAAAGATACTTATCTTCAATCCACTTCTGCAAACATGCCCTGGCTGATGCCTGTATGCATTTAACCTGACCAGGGAGGGATTCTGCAGTGTTCCTTGTGTGTGCTGTGTATGTATCTTCAGAGAAGTGAATGACATTTTCTTTAGCTGTCCCTCAGAAAAGAGGATACTACCTACTGATGGGTGGGTTTTTTTTTTTTAACAACAATTCTCAGATAGAATAGTCATGTATATGCTCCGGTAGTACAAGAGTTAAAGGCTTAGATTGTTAATCATTTTATAATATAGCTTATAGTTAGTTTCTAATAAACTAAGTTAATACTTTCTTTTGAATAAAAATATACCATTTGGACAAGCAATATTGAACTGAAAATCTCTCAATCAGCACTAACTCATCATGTTTTTAGAATCTCATCTAATAAAATCAATTTTGCAATCAGAGAGCAGGGTACGGTGGCATGCACCTGAATCCCAGATACTCTCTGGGCTGATGCAGAAAGATTGTTTGAACTCGGGAGTTCTGAGCCAGCCTGCACAGCATAACAAGATCCCATTTCAGAAAAATAGTTAGAAAGTTGAAAATAAATAGAAGTTAGAAGAGGTTAAGATTTTTACATGTCTTTAAAATCAGCCAGAAAACAAAACAGTTTTGTTTATCATAATGTGGTAGACTTGACAATCTGAGGAAAATCTACAGATTGTTTGCAAATCTGTCTCAGCAGTCAGAAAGGAAGAGAAAACAGGGACACAGACAAAGGCTTGAGAACACCAAAGAAGCAGAGAGACTGTGCTCAACCCAGCATTGGCTCTGGAACCTGCAGGTACCCAAGGCCACAGACCGGGGGAAGAGTCAGGCACTTGTCATAGGTCAAAGGGTGAACCAGGATATCATGGGGAGCTGCTGTCCTCCAGGGACTCTCCATGAGTCCCCTAGAAAAGCCCCACCTTCAGAGAGCCCTGGTGGGTGCCTTTCTCTCTTGACATTAGCCTTGGGTGGCACAGGGGGAGTCAGTCCCTTCCAGAATCCAGTCCCAAGTTTATCTCCATGCAGAGTTGGTGCTAGAAATGCACAAGCAGCCTGTGCAGAAGCAGGTCACATGACTGCTAGTGTACTATGGACCTCTTCTAGGCCCCCTGTTATTGCAACAGCATATAAATCCACTGTGGATAAGAGACTGGCCAAGCTTTGGGGACTTCCACAATTTCCTGGGAACAGGACTTCCAATGAAATCTCACAAAGACTGAAATCAATAAAGACCCAAAGATCTAGAAGTGACACCAGAACCACAAAGTTTGAAGGAGGTCCATCAAGACTATTTCATAGAAGATGACAGAGTAACAAGGTCACTGTAACTTATGGAGTATGGGCTTGGGATGCAGCCTGGTGCTTGAGTGCCCGTTAAACATGAGACCTTAGAGGCAATGTGCAGTGCCATTACTTACTTAATTAGATGAGAAAGGAAAGAGAATCAAAGTGTGATTCAAGAACAAAGAGATGATCTAAAAAGTTTGACAAGGAAATAAGGGGATTGTGTGGTGATGTAT